TCATGCCTGTAATCTCAGCACCTTGGTAGGCTGAGGTGGATGGATCCCTTGAGCTCAGGAGTTCTGAGACCAGCCTGGAGAAACATGATGAAACCCTGTCTCTACAAAAAATACAAAAATTAGCCGGGTATGGTGGCAGGCACCTGCCGTCCCAGCTACTCGGGAGGCTGAGGCAGGAGAGTCACTTGAACCCAGGAGGCGGAGGTTGCAATGAGCCGAGATTGCACCACTGCACTCCAGCCTGGGTGACAGTGAGACTCCATCTAAAACACACACACACACACACACACAAACGTAAATGCATAAAACAGTAATTATAAATATCTGCAAATGGGCACACAATGTGTAACGATGTAATTCCTGTCAATAATAATGTGAATGGGGAATGACAGAGATGTATAGGACCAGAATTTTTGTAAATGATTGAAGCTAAGGTAGTATTAATTCAAAGTAGAATATGTGTTAACTCCAAGGTAAACACTGAGAAAATGAATACAAAATGTACAGAAAATAAAAGGAACCAAAATGATAAATTCCGGCCAGGTGCAGTGGCTCCCGCCTGTAAGCACTTTGGGAGGCTGAGGCAGGCAGATCACCTGAAGTCAAGAGTTTGAGACCAGCCTGACCAATATGGAAAAACCATATCTCCACTGAAAATACAACATTAGCCAGCCGTGCTGGCACATGCCTGTAATCTCAGCTACTCAGGAGGCTGAGGCAGAAGAATCGCTTGAACCTGGGAGGCAGAGGTTGCGGCAAGCTGAGATCGGGCCATTGCGCTCTGACCTGGGCAACAAGAGCAAAACTCGATCTCAAAAAAAAAAAAAAAAAATCCATTAAACACAAAAGGCGGCAATACTGGGAGAATTAAGAAACAAAAAGAGACATACACAAAACAAATTAAAATATGGCTGAAGTAAATCCTTTACAAGCAATTAATTTAAATGTATATTGATTAAATTCTCCAATTAAAGGGCAGAGATTGCCAGATGGATTTTAAAAAAAATGATCCAACGATATGCTGTCCACGAGAGACTCAGCATAAATCCAAAAATGTAAATAGGTTGAAAGTGAGAGGGATAGACAAAGATTCCATGCAAATAGTTAAGCGATAGAGAGGTAGGTGGCTATGCTAGTATCAAACAATACAGACTTTAAGTCAAAAATTTTTGCAAGGCCGGGCGCAGTGGCTCAAGCCTGTAATCCCAGCACTTTGGGAGGCCGAGACGGGTGTATCACGAGGTCAGGAGATCGAGACCATCCTGGCTAACCCGGTGAAACCCCGTCTCTACTAAAAAATACAAAAAAACAACCCGGCCGAGGTGGCAGGCGCCTGTAGTCCCAGCTACTCGGAAGGCTGAGGCAGGAGAATGGCGTAAACCCGGGAGGCGGAGCTTGCAGTGAGCCGAGATCCCGCCACTGCACTCCAGCCTGGGCGACAGAGCGAGACTCCGTCTCAAAAAAACAAAAATTTTTTTACAAGGGACAAAAAAAGACATTATATATTGATAGAACGGTCAGTGCATCAAAAGATATAATAATTATAAACAAAAACACACCAAATAGAGCCCCAAAAGAAGTGAAGCAAACACTACAAAATGTTGCAGGTAAAAAAAAAAAACAAAACAAAACAGTTCTACAATAGTGGGAGTCTTCAGTACTTCACATTCAATAATGGATGGACCATCTACACAGAAGATCAAGAAGGAAATAGGACTAGAACATTATAAACTAACAATATCTAACAAACATATCATGTACACAACACTATCCCAAAACAGCAAAATACACATTTCATCATTTTTCCCAGTATGTTTAAGAATTTCCCAAATCTTCACATTTTAGTTTCTTATTGCTTAAGAATTCCTCCTTCAATTCAACTCTCTCCTTTCCTATTTTATATGTGCAATAAAGAGAACCCAAGCCACAAGTTCAATAATTAGAAATCTCCGCTACTATTCAGTTTCATTGCTTGGAAGCGCTACCTTCCACAAAACACTAGAACGTGATTCAGCCAAGTTCCTTGCTACAATAAACTGTTCCTCATTTCTGAGACTAAACCATTATGGCCTTAAATGTCCATATTTCTACCAACATTTTGTTCATGATTGTTTCTTTAACATGAATACCGTTCATGACAGTATTCTTTAAAATAGAAGCCCTCTCTCCAGTGATTCTATTTTGTTTTGAGTCCTCCCCAGAATCATTTTTACATATGTATTTCTAGCATCCACCCTCAGAATTCTTCCAGCCTATATGCCCACCACCCAGTTCCAAAGCTTGAACTTGCACATTTTTAGGTATTTGTTACAGCAGCACCCCACTTCTCAGTACCAACAACTGTCTTAGTTTGCTTAGGGTGCTGTAAGAAAATGCCAAAGACTGTGAGGCTTAAATACAGATACTTATTTTCTCACTGTTCTAATTAAAATAGGGATTAGCAGGTTTAATTCCTGGTAAGGGCTCTCTTGGCTTCTAAATTCCCACCTTCTCCTTGTGTCCTCATGTGGCCTTTCCTTTGTGTGAGAGCATAGGGAGAGACATCTTTCCTTCTGCTTCTCGTAAGATCACCATTTGTATCAAATTAGAATCACATTCTTATATCCTCATTGCCTTATGTCCAAATACAATCACACTGCAGGTTAAGGGATGAATTCTGGCAAGTTGGGGGCTTGGGGGGGTGGCACAGTGAGTTATATAACTCCAGAAATCTCAATCACAGACTCTCTGCCTGTCCCTGACATACGTATGTTAGTCTTTAATACTAGTTGCTATTAAATAGAATTAGAATTCCTTCATTGGACATAGAAAATTTAATGGTGCAGGACAACAGAAAACAGGATGAGACTGCAATATCCTATCCTATTGAATATGAGAATAAAGCTCCTATGCAGGCTAGGGAAAAGTCACAAAGAATAAAGGGGCAAATGAAAATGGAAAGAATGGTGAAATTTTATATTTTTGAGTAAGAAACTGTAGTAAAAACCAAACAGTAATACCACAACGATAATTATATTATGGTTTGGAGTAAGTGTGAAATGCCATTAAGTTCATAACAAAGTTAAATGAAAAATGTTAATATGATAAAAATATAGCTGTAATTACAAATAAGGAAAACATAATAGGATACATTTTATTCATTAATTTATCATTTGTTAATGACTTCAAAAAGTAAAAGCCAAGACACAAGGATATTTTGTTTCTCTCACTAATTTTAATTTTAATGTCTGTATACAAGGTTTAGATATTTAGTAGTTTTAATTTGTTTAAGCTGGAAGGAAAAACACACACACAAAGAAACATAGGACAAGTTCTCCTGGAGAGCTATACCCAAAAGAGGAACATCAGCACTGATGGTAACTCAGGATAAAAAGGTCCAAGAGTAAATTAGCTGTGTTGTTACATAAATAGAATTTAGTTAGAAACAGAGCTACTACTCTATTTCAAAGATATGAAATAGCAAATATCCTGACAAAACTCTTGTTCTTACTGTGTAGGACATGAAACAACAACCAATTACATATCTTTTAAAACTACTTGAATAAGCAATACTTACATAAAACATTGCTCAATATATCAGATGAGAAAATAGCTTAATATTGGTAATCATTCAGACCTTTCTAGAGTACATAAATTCTGGGAAAGACACCAGTTTCAAAAATTAAAATGTAATGAATGATGGTGACATAAATTTATCTGAAAATAGTAAAATTTTCTTATAAAAATCGAATAACTGGCCAGGCATGGTGGCTCACACCCGTAATCCCAGCACTTTGGGAGGCCAAGGCCGGCAGATCACGAGGTCAGGAGATACAGACTGTCTTGGCCAACATGGTGAAACTCTGTGTCTACTAAAATACAAACAATTAGCCAGGTGTGGTGGCACATGCCTGTAATCCCAGCTACTTGGCAGGCTGAGGCAGGAAAATTGCTTGAACCTGGGAGGTGGAGGTTGCAGTGAGCTGAGATCACGCCACTGCACTCCAGCCTGGTGACAGAGCAAGACTCTATCTCAAAAAAATTAAATAAATAAATCCAATAACCAGGCCGGTTGCGGTGGCTCATGCCTGTAATCCCAGCACTTTGGGAGGCTGAGGTGGGGGGGATCACCTGAGGTCAGGAGTTCGAGACCAGATTGACCAACATGGAGAAATCCCATCTCTACTAAAAATACAAAATTAGCCAGGCGTGGTGGCGCATGCCTGTAATCCCAGCTATTGGGAGGCTGAGCAGGAGAATAGTTTGAACCCGGGAGGCAGAGGTTAAGGTGAGCCAAGATCACGCCACTGCACTCCAGCCTGGGCAACAGAGCAAAACTCTGTCTCAAAAAAAATGAAAAGTAAAAAAAAAAATGATGGCATGTCATGAGTTCTAAAGGATAAGAAGTTAAAGCTGACTGGGCACAGTGGCTCACGCTTGCAAAAAAAAAAAAAAAAAAAAAAAAAAAAAAAAAAAATTTCAATAACCAGTGGCTTGTGATCTCACTGACTGCATAACCAAGTCAGCTGTCCTGAGAGAGAGATGATTTTGGAGTTAAATGAGATTAGTTAAATCACAGAAGGTCTGTTGATTGTTGAAATGCCCAAACCTAATAAGGCAACTCTAAGAGAGAAAAAAAATAAAAATAATGGTAATAGATTAAAAAAAATTTGAAGCTGTAGTTGTAAATCCTCTTAATGTAAGTTCAGTGGTCATTTTTTCCTCCCCTTTTAAAGGCGTTTGACAAATTTAAGAATGATAATTTAAGAGAATGATAAATTTTAACAGACTTATTGGATGAGTAATTTTATCAAATATTTAAGAGTTCTCTTCATTTGGATCCTGGTTGGTACAGCCTGTGGGTAAAAAGACTGCTTAAAGGAAGTGGTTATATTCCAATATAACAGACAAACACTATATACAAACACACACACAGAGTATATATTATATATACATATATACTGTATATACTATATATACATATAGTATGTGTATATATATACTGTGTGTTATATATATAGTGCATGTGTGAGTATATATAGTATACATCGCACATACACTATATACACTGTATGTATATATACACTATATATATATAGTGTGTGTGTGTGTTATGGTGGAATACAACCAGTTCCTATGTATATGTTATTTTGGGGGAACATGTTGTATCAAAATAAAATAGAAATTTAAAGAGAAGTGAACAATTTGGTGAAAATGGAAAGATCACACTTCCATCATTCAAAACAAAACAAAACAAGAACATTACACAAAATGAAGAGCAATAAGAATGTAAAACTACGTTATACCTGTCTAGGAGTTCTAACTCTCTGGAGGAAAATAAGTATAGATATCACAAGCAAAGAATTGCAATGCAGAAAAGATACTGAAGTAATATTACAATTAAAAAACTGAATAGTGAAAAGAACAATAATGCAAACATCAAAGGCTATTGTAAACAAAACATGCCACGATGAGAAACTCATGGAAAAAAACTCTTTTTAACATAAAAAGGAGAAATATTTGGCAATATCTAACAAAGCTATAAGTATATATCAGTTATGACTAAGCAATTCTATGTCTACATACAGAATGGCCATGAAGTCTAAAAACAGACTTAAAAGAGGGAGATACTGAATTGCCTTGATTACCCATTAAATCCATCCATAGTTTTTTCCTGTGAAAATCGGAAATAAAAAACCACTTTATACATTTATTTCAGTCAAACGATTTCTCACCAGTGTAAATTTTCGGTTGGCACGTAAGATGCCCAACAACACTAAAGGAATTCCCACATTCCTTACATTCATAGGGTTTATCACCAGTATGAATGCGCTGATGTTTGGTAAAGGATGAACTATGTCTAAAGGCCTTCCCACATGCCTTGCATTCGTAGGGTTTTTCTCCAGTATGAATTCTCTGATGTTCTGTAAGGGCTGAACTATGTCTAAAGGCCTTCCTACATACCTTACATTCATAAGGTTTCTCACCACTATGAATTCTTTGATGTTGAATAAGGGCTGACGTAAGTCTAAAGAACTTTCCACACTCCTTACATTCATAAGGCTTTTGACCACTGTGAATTCTTTCATGTCGAGTAAGTTCACTACCTACTCCAAATGCTTTCTCACATTCTTTACATTTATAGGGTTTTTCACCAGTATGAATCCTCTGATGTCTAGTCAGGGATGAACTGTTTCTAAAGACCTTTCCACATGCTTTGCATTCATAGGGTTTCTTACCAGTATGAATTCTCTGATGACGAGCAAGTTCTCTACATACTCCAAAAGCCTTTCCACATTCCTTACATGCATAAGGTTTCTCACCAGTATGAATTCTCTGATGTTCAATGAGCTGTGAACTAATTCTAAAAACCTTCTCACAGTGCATACATTTGTAGGGCTTCTCACCAGTATGAATTCTCTGATGTTCGGTAAGCTGTGAAAGAAATCTGAAGTCCTTGCCACATTCCATACATTTGTAAGTTTTCTCATCAGTATGGATTTTCTGATGTCGAGTAAGTTGGGCATGCACTCTAAAGGATTTCCCACAGAATGAGCATTCGAAGTGTTTCTCACCATCATGAACTCTTTGAAGTGGAGTAACTTCTTCAACTCTTCCAAAGGTCCTTCTGTATTCCTTACATTTGTAGAACTTCTCATTATCAATTTTCTGGTATACATTAAGGTCTTTATAAAAACTACATGTATTCCCATATTCCATATATTTACAAGGTTTCACACCAGTATGAATATTCAGTTGTAACATATTGGAGTTGTCTATCCCAAAGGTTTTCCAACATTGATTGCATGCATAGTTTTTTCCACCAGTATGTCTTTTCTGATATTCAGCAAACTCTAAGTCACAACTGAAGACCTTCTCATATTCCTTGTATTCATAGGGCTTCTCACTGTCATGAGTTGTCTGAGGTAACATAAGAGATTCATGAGTTTTGTAAGTGGGCACATTTTCAGTGATGATTTTCATTTGACTGAAATATCCCACTTCAGGTCCTTGTACTTCAATCTTGCTTTTGCTTTGCCAGTCATTTCTGCAAATGGAACTTTCAAGGCCACGTAACTTGCTACATTCCATTACCTCCCACTGAGAACCAGTGTTTTTAATAATGTCTTTTCCTACAGATAAATGCTTAGTCTCACTCCTGGACTCCAAATCTGAAAGAAAGGAAAAAATAATTTTCATGTACTACAAGAATAAAAGTTATGGAAAGAAGAGACAATTTAAGAATAATTCACCATATACATGAATTGGTTTAAAAAATGTTATGGGCCGGGCGCGGTGGCTCAAGCCTGTAATCCCAGCACTTTGGGAGGCCGAGGCGGGTGGATCACGAGGTCAGGAGTCGAGACCATCCTGGCTAACATGGTGAAACCCCGTCTCTACTAAAAATACAAAAAACTAGCCGGGCGTGGTGGCGGGCGCCTGTAGTCTCAGCTACTTGGGAGGCTGAGGCGGGAGAATGGCGTGAACCCGGGAGGCGGAGCTTGCAGTGAGCCGAGATCACGTCACTGCACTCCAGCCTGGGAGCACAGCGAGACTCCGTCTCAAAAAAAAAAAAAAAAAAAAAAAAAATGTTATGAAATTTGGAGAAAGATAAAGAGAGCTCACAGAATAACAGCAGAACATAAAGATTATGAGGAATGTGATTAAGTCAGTGGATCTGAAATTTGTGTGTTGGTCATCACCTGGTAAGCTTGTTGGTTAAACAGAATCAAAATCTGTAGATGTAGAACTAGTCATTAGCATCTTATAGAGATAATGCTAATGCAGATCAAAATTTTATAATCCATATATACTAACACTTTTATGGTTTTCTTCCCCAAAAATAAACTTTACCAAGGATAATAACAAGGTACAGTTTGTAAGACCTCATTTTGCCCGGGCATGTGGGCTCATGCTTGTTATCCTAGCACTTTGGGAGGGCAAGGCAGGTGGGTTACCTGAACTCAGGACTTTGAGACTAGCCTGGGCAACATGGTGAAACCCTGCCTCTACTAAAATACAAACAGCCGGGCATGATGGCACACACCTGTAGTCCCAGCTACTCAGGAGGCTGAGGCACAAGACTTGCTTGAACCCAGGAAGTGGAGGCTGCAGGGAGCTGAGATCGCACCACTGCGTAGACTCTAGCCTGGGCAGTGGAGCAAGAGTCCGTCTCAAAAAAAAAAAAAACAAAAACCTCATTTTAACTCCATTCTGCTAATCATTTTTCACCTCCTAGATCAAAACAAATATCCTATCATTTAGAGCTATCCACAGGACATTTCATTTCACATAAACGGTCTCTTTGTATGCCAGCTTCTTTTCTTTGTTAAGGTCTCAAGATACCTGCCCTCAGAAAGGGCATATTAGTTGACCCTAAGTAACTTCATTTCCATTTCTAATCCCGTATCTAGTGCCTTACCCTTATATATGTTTTTTCAGTTGTGTATTCAGTACTTTTACACCATTTACTTCCTTATTCCTTAAATTCCACAAGGACAAATATAATAAATTTTCATGTGCCAATGTATAACAAGCCCTAAGGGCATAGTATATGATAATTAATAGAGGAAAAGTAAATCACTGAATGAATCCAAATAAAAATAAAAGTATATATACAAAGATAAGTCACTAGAAAACAACTATCAAAATAATTATGTAGCTATAAGAATAATGCCAGTTATCAATGCCTCCCAACCCTCATTGTATTAGTGATTACATACATATATTTATAATACAGTAAGATACATAAATACGGTGAACATTCATATGTATTTATTTTCCAACTGCTTCTCCACTTACACATATTGTCCCACCATTATTGCTTATTCTATGCAGAGCCATGACTGACACGTGGAATGAAGAAATACAATCAAGATGGGATGTGTTATTTACTTCTCTTCAACAGCGTATTTACCTTTACTCTGCTGTCCTTCTAAAACCTACCCCTATTTTTTCTTTTATGTTCTTTTACAGATATTCCTTTCCATTTTCTTATGCCAAAAGTCAACTAATGCTATACTTCCCCAAAATATATTTCAGATATTAAAATATCTGAATATAATTGTAACTACTGTTAGACTTACACAATTCTGAGCAAAGGCTTATGAGTGAAAAGGAGAATATGCTAACAAAATAATATGAAGAAGGTGGTCTAGGTACACAAGACTGTAAGGCACTTTGTAACAAAGGTTTTTATGGACATCATCTGGAGGCGAACAATGAGAAAAGGGAATGCCTGAGGAAAACTCAGAGTGACACATGAACACAGAAAAAGGATAATTTTCTGTGACTTAATTATGTATAAGATGAAATAATGCAGACATCAATATCTGACAGAAACATTAAAACCAGATTTGAGTGCCAGTATCAATAAATCAAAAGTACTTTCAGTTAGAAATAAAGAAGCTCTCTACTAGGCTGGGTGCAGTGGCTGTCACACCTGTAATCCCGGCATTTTGGGAGCCCAAGGTGGGTGGATCACTTGAGGTCAGGAGTTCGAGAACAGCCTGGCCAACATGGCGAAACCTGTTTCTACTAAAAATACAAAAAAACTTAGCTGGGCATGGTGGCACATGTCTGTAATGCCAGCTACTTGGCAGGCTGAGGCAGAAGAATCACTCAAACCTGGGAGATGGAGGTTGCAGTGAGCTGAGATTGCACCACCGCACTCCAAGCTGGGCAACAGAGTGAGACTATGTCTTATTAAAAAAAAAAAAAAAAAGAAAGAAAAAAAAAAAAAAAAGAAAGAAAAGAAAAAGAAGCTCTCTGCTAAATAACTGTTGGGACAATGTGGAAATGTAATTGAAATCACAAAGTTTGTAGTGAACCATGATGTTGAAAACATTTCTAACTGATATCTATGGAACATAAATATATTTGTCTCATAAAAAGTAAAAACTTAAATGCTTGTTTTAAAAAAAAAAAAAAAGTAAAAATAACCAATGTATATATCCTACTAAAGACAAAAGAACAGTGACCTAAAGAAAAGGTGAGAAATTAGCAAACAATCGTAACGTGATGAAAACATACACAAAATGTTATAAGACTCCTATGCTAATAAAGCTGAAAATGTAGTCTAATGAATTAATTTCTCGGTAAAGAGATATTTAAAACCAACCCAAAAAGCAATAATAGTTGGAAAAACATTCCTGGAATGAGATAAAATTTTCTTTTTTTGTTTTTTTGAGACAGCGTCTCGCTCTGTCGCCCAGGCTGGAGTGCAGTGGCCGGATCTCAGCTCACTGCAAGCTCTGCCTCCCGGGTTTACGCCATTCTCCTGCCTCAGCCTCCCAAGTAGCTGGGACTACAGGCGCCCGCCACCTCGCCCGGCTAGTTTTTTTGTATTTTTTAGTAGAGACGGGGTTTCACCGCGTTAGCCAGGATGGTCTCGATCTCCTGACCTCGTGATCCGCCCGTCTCGGCCTCCCAAAGTGCTGGGATTACAGGCTTGAGCCACGGCGCCCAGCCGGAGATAAAATTTTCAAACACTCACTCCATGAAACAGAAGAACAATAACCATGCCTTATTGTCCTTGTTATTGAAATAAACCAGGTAATAAACCAGGAATCCTAGAACAAAGGCCTGGATCATGATCTAGACCCGGGGAGGTATGAGATGTACCCTGTAATGTTTTGTCAGAAAGAAGAAAGTTTTACAACAGTGGGTCACATCAAAGGGACACAAAAATAGCTTGAGGGAGCTAAAGTGCCACCATTTTGACAATACAAGAGTCAAATGAAGGGAAAAAAGTTTATGTACTGCAACATGCTAAACTAAACAAAACCAGAAAAATGCACTCATATCCAATTCAATGCCTGGGTCTGGGATAGGAAGGGTATGGAATGAGCCTTGGATAAGCTTTTGACAAAAAGTGACAATAAATTCAAAGGTTAAAGGATAAAGCCAAAGCGCACAGAAATCACCATAAGAAACATGGTATCAGTATATCAAAATTTCATCCAGGCCGGGCGCGGTGGCTCAAGCCTGTAATGCCAGCACTTTGGGAGGCCGAGACGGGCAGATCACGAGGTCAGGAGATCGAGACCATCCTGGCTAACGCGGTGAAACCCCGTCTCTACTAAAAATACAAAAAATTAGCCGGGCATGGTGGTGGGCACCTGTAGTCCCAGCTACTCGGGAGGCTGAGGCAGGAGAATGGAGTAAACCCGGGAGGCAGAGCTTGCAGTGAGCTGAGATCCGGCCACTGCACTCCAGCCTGGGTGGCAGAGCGAGACTCCGTCTCAAAAAAAAAAAAAAAAAAAAATTTCATCCAATATTCATACTGCTGGACATCAAAAATCAGACTCTGGTGGGCTACTGTATACTGAACATCAATAAACATAATGAGACATAATAGAAGGTATGAAAAATTCTAGTGCACCATTTGAGGTGGCTACTTATTTACAGTAATATAAAAGATATAATAATAATAAAAACAGCCTCTTTGCCTTTCCCATTAGAATTACAAAAGTTTACCAAAGAACATGACAGCAACTAACATAAAAGGAATGACAAATTGAAACACATTGATTCCAATGAGGGCTTCCAAATGCAAAAACATTAGGTGAATCACTGAAAAGGAACTGTATAAAATGCCAAATTAAGACCAGAGAGATTGGTTTCTGACCACACTGTCTGAATTAGCTCTTTCTCCATCATTCTCTACCCCTTTATTCTTACACATACTGTTATATATATTCTCTACTTGTTTATTATACATCTCAAGAACTAGTATGTCAGTTCCATGGCAGCAGGGTCTGTATTGGTCTTGTTCACTATTGTACTGATGTCTGTCTCAATGTAGACACTAAATAAATATTGAGGATATGAATGAGCATTTGTTTATGGTCAATATACACATACATAAGTCTAAATACAAGAGGAACTGGAAAACGGTGGCATTGAAGAAGATCTTAATTTCCTTCTCCAAGTGCCAGGCTTTAAAAAAAAAAAAAAAACAAAAACAAAAAACAGTCTGGGCCGGGCGCGGTGGCTCACGCCTGTAATCCCAGCACTTTGGGAGGCCGAGGTGGGCAGATCACGAGGTCAGGAGATAGAGACCATCTTGGCTAACATGGTGAAACCCCGTCTCTACTAAAAATACAAAAAATTAGCTGGGCATGGTGGTGGGCACCTGTAGTCCCAGCTACTCGGGAGGCTGAGACAGGAGAATGGCGTGAACCTGGGAGACAGGACTTGCAGTGAGCCGAGATTGTGCCACTGCACTCCAGCCTTGGCAACAGAGCGAAACTCTCTCTCAAAAATAAAAAATAAAAATAAATAAATAAAAACCCACAAGCTTTTGAAGGGATTTTCCCAACAGAATCCCAGGGGTTCATCTCCTGGACCAGATGGGCTTTGTGCTTTGGCAATGACTTTCTATCCCTCAGTGGCCATCACTCACCTGGCCCTGTCTTCCTTCACATCCCATAAACTCTATAGAGCAACTTCCCTTCCTCCAATAAGGTGATCCCAATTGGATCAGAAATGGAAGACTGCTTACAACAAAGAAATGTAACAATGTATTTTTTTATTATAACCAATTTTTAAAATACAGCTTTGAGAATTGGTTAAAGTTTTACTAAATAAAATCAAAATTATAGGAAAAAGACAGAAAAAAGAATTGTGAGGGAACTGGAAAAACATTCACCTTAGAGTAACCACAGAATTATCATGTATAAAGAGACTAGACAGGTAAGGAAAGGTCTTATGTTATTTAAACCCATACTAATTCTTTGTCTAGAGAAGCAGTGTAACAGTTAAAAATACTGTCTTTGGTGCCAGATTGCCTGGGTAGAAAGCCTTCCTCTGTAATTATGTGGCTGTGGAGCCTTTGCAGAAGTGCCTAAATACTCTCTGTTGTAAGCAACCTCTTCTGTACAACAATAATACAAACAGCACTTATGTCACAGAGTTATTGTAAGAATTAAACGAGTCATTTTTTTTTTTGAGATGGAGTCTTGCCCTGTTGCCCAGGCTGGAGTGCAGTGGCGCGATTTCAGCTCACTGCAACCTCCGCCTCCCGAGTTCAAGCAGGTTCAAGCAATTCTCCTGCCTCAGTCACCTGAGTAGCTGGGACTACAGGCACACGCCACCATGCCCGGCTAATTTTTTTCTATTTTAGTAGAGACGGGGTTTCACTGTGTTGCCCAGGCTGGTCGTGAACTCCCGAGCTCAGGCAATCTGCCCGCCTCAGCCTCCCAAAGTGCTGGGATTACAGGCATGAGCTACCACGCCTAGCCACGAGCCAATTATTTAAAGTGCTTAGGACGGGGCCAACTAGAAGGCAAGAACTATGGAAGCTGAGAGGAAAGTAAGTAACTTTCTGAGCTATTAAAAGGTCCTTGGTGGAATACTAATTTAATGTTAAATGCAACGTTCTTTAGCCATAAAGCAGGTGGGAGGAAATGAATATGAACTGTTTATCAGTCCTTCAATATATAAATTGTAGAGATTCTTTTAACAATCATAAGAAATCAGGACACACGGTATCTTAAAAGTTCTCCCAGAAGGTGGGTAAGAATATAAAGTATTTATAGCAATTCCAACCTCAAACACAATGTACGGGTTGCACATCCCTAATCTAAAATCTGAAATTCAATTACAAAATCCAAAACTTTCTGAGCACTGACATGATGCCACAAGTGAAATATACATAACTACTTAACACAAACTTGGTTTCATGCACAAAACTATTAAAAACATGGTATAAAATTGCCTTCAGGCAACTTTATATGTGTATAAAGTGTACATGAAACATAAATGAATTTTGTGTTTCAATTTAGGTTCCATCCCTAAGATGTCTCATTATGTATATGCAGATATTCCAAAATCTGAAAAAAATCCCCAATCCAAAACACTCTCATCCCAAGTATTTTGGATAAGGGATACGCAACCTGTAATGTCTCAATGATATGCTGTACGTGTTCCATAAGTCAAATCCAGCTCCTTGGTATCAAGGAAGGTAGAAATTATATGCAGGGCCTGAGAAGGTAAGAATATCATGAAGAATGTTAAATACTGATAGAGATGTCATTTGCAACACAACAACACTGAAAGCATGCCTTTGGAATCAGAAGTTCACCTAGTTTCTTAAAACATAGCCTCGAGGCCGTCGCAGTGGCTCATGCCTGTAATCCCAGCACTTTGGGAGGCTGAGGCAGGCGAATCACGAGGTCAGGAGTTCAAGACCAGCCGGGTCAGTGTGGTGAAACCCTGTCTCTACTAAAAATACAAAAAATTAGCTGGGTGTAGTGGCGGACGCCTGTAATCCCAGCTACTCGGGAGGCTGAGGCAGGAGAACTGCTTGAACCTGGGAGGCAGAGGTTGCAGTGAGCCAAGATCATGCCACTGCATTCCAGCCTGGGTAACAAAGTGAGACTCCATCTCAAAAACAAAACAAAACAAAATGAAAAACAAAATACAGCCTTGAGTTCACTGAATATCAGCTGATAGTCTAGAGCGTATATTCTAAGTTATTGGAGGCAGACAAATTTACCCAGTGAGAGTAAGTTGCTGTAGTTCTCCATCATCACATCCCAGTACAAGTTCCTCTGAGCAGAATCCAGATATTCCCATTCCTCCTGAGAGAAGTTGATGACCACATCCCTGAGTGTCACCAGTTCCTGAAACAACAAACCCGTACATTACAGGTAAAATTTAAGGAAATATTTTTGAGAAAAAGGCAAGATGAATTGCCTTATTGCAAGGGGACTGGACAGTAAACAAGGAGGCCAGGAGAAGACTGTGACACAGGAAGTAAGGAAATTAGTGCTTCCAAACCAGACTATCATCTTTAAAGACTCCCTTTGATCCACTGAAATCTTTCTGCATACTTATGGGATCTCTTATTTAGCCAACCATGTCTGGAAATTAATAACCAGTTTACAAATTAAAAGAAGTACTATATACAAGCACATTTCATGCTATGTGCCTGCCTCGTGAATCATCAATAAATGTAAGTTTCTATACCCTCATTCCCCTGTACAGGAGAAAAATATCTAACTTTGAAAATGGGGTGTGAACAAAATTAAAGATTTCTTGTAGCTCCAAGTTCATTACTATGTGACATATTGTCACATTATATAATACGATTTATTACTTCTAGCAACAAAGTTTTTAGTAAGTGTTTTTTAGTGGCTACAGAGTAGTTTTCTTGCTAAAAATTTAACAGCCTTAATTATACTGCAATGTTTAGGTTAGACAAGGTCTTCTCCAATTCTGCACCTACAATCATCATCATTTTATATGACCTGAGGCCATTCAACATCAAATCCAATCTACCTGGAAACTCAAGTCTGTGGAGAAGGTCAGAGTATGCCCAATTGTCAAACAGATCCATCTGCTTTTTCCCTATCCAAGATATGACAAGGAAAAGTACAGGGATTCCACTTCTGCTTTATATCTGCTCTTGACAAAGGACTGAACACACGGGAGTGTTGAACATTCTTTGGAGAATAGAGAGGCACACAGGAGGGACACTATGCTGTTAGACTCCAGCCCTTACTAGAAAGTGAAAAAGTATGGGGTTGTGGTGCAGGTTCTTTGACAGAGGTGTGTGGTAGGAAGAATCAGAAAAAAGAAATGTCACAAAGAAAAGAGAAATAGTAACTTACATGGTCCATGGTTAGAACTGTAAAGAACTGGTCAGGGAATTCCACTTCTGGCATGACAGCATGAGGAGCTCTATGGACACGATCCCCAATGAAACTGTAAAAATTATTTTTTAAAAAAGAACCACAATTTAAAGTCTCTGGAAATGGTGCTAGGAATGTACAGCAAATGAAGAAACATTAGTTTACGAAAATCTCCAAAAACATGTTAAGAACTCTGAGAGTCTGGACTATGTGAACCAAACCTGAGCCCTCCATTGTCCATTCTGTCTCGGTGAGAAAGACTCCACTCCAGCTAGGATAGCCAAGGGCATGGGGCTTCTTCGCCACTTCTCAACCCTTGCCCCAGTCGGATAGCTATCTTCCTAGGTGGGGTAAGACATCATCACTTTTCACTCTGCCCCAGTTACCTACCTGTTGCACAGCTGAAGAATGAAGACTCCCTTCCTCTGCCTTGCCCCAAAACATGAAATGTAGGCTTTAACTTGGATGTGGTACTGCTGAGCATACTGAGGTTCCAATTGCTGTGCCCTGGCTCCTGGGGCAGGTGTTCCATGCCCAAACAGGCAAGCCAGGCAGACCTGGCTGCCGCCCCATCTGCCATCTACCAAGCACTCAGCTCCTAAAGCAGGGGAATCACTCAGAGAGATGCATGCCATTGTCCATACCTCCAGCACTAGAACAGTGGCTCTGAGATTTTGTCCAGGGGGAGAAGTAGGCCATAGAACAGAGTTCTGTATTGCTCCTCAAAGGAACTGAATTGACTTGCAACAGAATGTGGAGAAATTTAAACCTAAGGGCAATGTCAAAAACTGAAAATTTTGGTGAAGGGCAATTGGGAGGAGGTTGATAGATTAGAGGTGTATGTTATACTATAGGGTGGTTTGTTTGCCAGACAGAAACTGAGAGACCACCTGGGAAGAGACATTCTATTGTCAGAACAAATCTCAAACACTGACCTCAAGAAAGCCCCAGTTTGATTATATTAGCCTGTGAAGCAACATATACTCCAGGGCACTTAGGAAAGCAATACTGCCATTAAGTTGCAATCGGTGGTGCTAACAGCTGGGGGTGGTCAGGGAGACGCTCAAAGACAGCCCTGTCAAAACCACTATCATCTAATGCTGTCTGTAAAAGTAGGCAAGGCTGTACTCCAATGAGCAACATCAGGGATTTTACACCATGGTGAGAATAGACTTCACTAAAACAATCCAGAGTCCATTCTCATGCTGCTATAAGGATACACCCAAGACTAGGTAATTTACAAAGGAAAGAGGCTTGATTCACAGTTTTGTATGGCTGGGGAGGCCTCAGGAAACTTACAATCATGGCAGAAGGCACCTCTTCACAGGGTGGTAGGAGAGAGAATGAGAGCCGAGCTAAGGGGGAAGCCCCTTATAAAACCATCCCATCTTATGAGAACTCACTCACTATTAGAAGAACAGTATGGGGGAAACCACTCCCATGATTCAATCATTTCCTCTTGGTCCTGCTCTTGACATGTGGGGATTATTACAATTCAAGATGAGTTTCGGATGGAGATACAGAGCCAAACCATATCACCGTCACTAAGCAAGTAAATAAGCAAGTACCAATAACAAGCCCTGAGGCAGAGGGTGTGGACAAAAGTACTGGAGTTCCAACAACTGTCTATAAAATCCACTTTCCACAAACAAGAGACAGGCAAAGAAACAGGAAAGTATGATTCACACACTGGAAAAGAAACCCACAACAGAAACTGCTTGTGAGAGCAACCAGATTTAACAGGCAAAGACTTCAAATTATAAACAGGTAAAGACTTCAAATTATACATTATAATATATATTCAAATAGACAAAGGAAACCATAGTTACAGAAGTAAATGTAGGTATGATCATAATGTTGCATCAAAAGGAGAATATCAACAAAGAGATACAAATTATCAATAATAAACATGGAAATTCTGAAGTTACAAAGTATAATAACTGAAATGAAATTTTCACTAGAAGGACTCAATAGTAGATATGAACTGGCAGAAGTATTAGCAAAGTTGAAGATAGATTAATAGCAATGGTGTAATCTGATGAACAGAGAGAAAACAAGACAAATTAACATCTCAGAGAAATGTGGGACCCCATTAAGCACACTGCTATAAACAGGAGTACCAGAAGAGAGATGACAGAGAAAAAAACCATTTAAAATTTACAAAGAAATAATGAATTTAAAATTCCCAAATTTATTGAAAAACATTAAACTGCACATCCAGGAAGCTCAACAAACACCAAGCAGGATAAATGCATAGAGATCCAAACATAGATGCATCATTATAAAAGCACTGAAATCCAAAGAAAGAAATGGAGAAAATCTTGAAAGCAGTAAAAGGAAACTGCAGGCTAGAAGTGAAACTAATACAGAAGTATTAACTGCTGATTTCTCATCAGAAAAAAATGAAAGCCAGAAGGCAGTGGGATGACATATACAAAGTACTCACATACACAAAATCCTTCAACCCAGAATTCTAAATCCATCAACATGCAAAAAAATGAAGTGACCCCCCACCTCACACCACTTACAAAAATTAACTCAAAATGGATTAAAGACTTAAATATAAGGCCTGAAACTCTAAAAATCCCAGAAGAAAACATAGTGAAGCTCTTGACATTGGTCTTGCAATGATTTTTAAAAATATAACACCAAAAGCACCTGAAACAAAAGCAGAAACAAAGAAATCAAATCAAATTAAAAAGCTTCTATAAAATAAAGGAAACAATTTAAAAAGTGAAATGACATTCTACAGAGTGGGAGAAAATATGTGCAAATTATATATCTGACACGGGGTTAATATCTAAATATATAAGAAATTCATTCAACTCAATAGCAAAAAAAAAAAAAAAAAAAAAAAATCCAACTAAAAATGAGCAAAGAACCTGATAGACATTTTTCAAAGAAGAGTATACGGCTGGGCGCGGTGGCTCCAAGCCTGTAATCCCAGCACTTTGGAGGCCGAGAGCGGGCGGATCACGAGGTCAGGAGATCGAGATCATCTGGCGAACATGGTGAAACCCCGTCTCTACTAAAAAATACAAAAAAACTAGCCGGCCGAGGTGCGGGTGCCTGTAGTCCCAGCTACTCCGGAGGCTGAGGCAGGAGAATGGCGTAAACCGGGAGGGGAGCTTGCCAGTGAGCTGAGATCCGGCCACTCTGCACCAGCCTGGGCGACGAGCCGACTCCATCTCAAAAAAAAAAAAAAAAAAGAAAAAGAAGATATACAAATGGTCAACGGGTATATAGAAAAGGTGCTCAATATCACTAAACATCAGGGAAAGCAAAATCAAACCGCAATGAAATATCACCCTCACACCCTAACCAGACTGCTATTATCAAAAGACAAGAAAGAAAAAAAATGTTGACAGGATATGGAAAAAAGGGAAGCCTTGTACACTGTTGGGGATGTAAAACTGGTAGATTCCTTCTGAAAAAGTATGGAGGTTCCTCAAAAAGCTTAAAAATAGGAACATTCCCCATACAAGCCCAGCAATCTGCCTTTGCTATACGGCCAAAAGAAATGAAGTCCAGTAACTTTTTTTCCACCTGCACCGAGAACAGAGGTCTTTTCTTTCGCCCACGTGGTGGGAATGCAGTGGCTGCAATCTCGTTCATTGCAACCTCTGCCTCCAGGGTTCTATGCAAATTCTCCATGCTCAGCTGTCCCGAGTGGCTGGGATTACAGGTGTGTGGCCCATGCGCGCTAAATTTTTGTTTTTAGTATTTTTTTTTTTTTTTTTTTTTTTGTTTTTTTTTTTTTTTTTGAGATGGGGTTTTACCATATTGGCCAGGCTGGTCTCGAACTCCTGAGCTCATGATCCACCCACCTTGGCCTCCCAAAGTGCTGGAATTACAGGCGTGAGCTACCACGCATGGCCAAAGTCAGTAACTTGAAGAGATATTTGCAGTCCTTGTTCATGGCTGCATTATTCACAATAACCAAGGTATGAAAATCTAAGTGTCCCTCAATGGGTGGACAGATAAAGTGTGCTTGTATGTGTGTGTATATACATAAGTATGTGTCAATTATGTATCAGTAAAACAAAGGGGGGTGGTTATCCTTATGCAGCAAACCTGTATTTCAAAACTTAAGACCATTTCAAAACTTAAGATGAAAAGACATTTCCAGATAAAAACTGAATTTACTGCTAGCTGACTGACCTTAAAAAGTACTCGGCCGGGCGCGGTGGCTCACGCCTGTAATCCCAGCACTTTGGGAGGCCGAGGCGGGCGGATCACAAGGTCAGGAGATCGAGAAAAATGAGCCGGGCGAGGTGGCGGGCGCATGTAGTTCCAGCTACTCGGGAGGCTGAGGCAGGAGAATGGCGTGAACCCAGGAGGCGGAGCTTGTAGTGAGCCAGGATCGCGCCACTGCACTCCAGCTTGGGCGACAGAGCGAGACTCCGTCTCAAAAAAAAAAAAAAAAAAAAACAAAAAAACAAATGCTTTAAAAAAGTACTCAAGGAAGCTCTTTAGGCTGGTGATCCCAGGTAGTAATAAAAATCCATATGAAAAAACAAAGAGAAGAGGCTGGGCGTGGTGGCTCACACCTGTAATCTCAGCACTTTGAGAGGCTGAGATGGGAAGATCACCTGAGGTTGCGAGTTCAAGACCAGCCTGATCAACACGGAAAAACCTGGTCTCTACTAAAAATACAAAATCAGCCAGGTGTGGTGACACATGCCTGTAATCTCATTTACTTGGGAGGCTGAGGCAGAAGAATCACTTGAACCCAGGAGGCAGAGGTTAAGGTGAGCCGAGATGGCGCCAAGGCACTCCAGCCTGGGCAACAAGAGCGAAACTCTGTCTCAAAAAAAAAAGAGAAGCAAGGCAATTTTATGTAATTGTAAATGACAGTATACATATATATCTCTTCTCCTCTTAACTGATAGACAAATTTTATGAAACAATGTGTATATTATGTATTATTGGGCCCATAACATACAGAAATGTAATATATTTGCTAATAATAACACAGAGAAGGCAGGGGAAAGCAAAGTTGTACTGGGCTAAGGAAATGAATCCAGATGGTAACTCCAATCCAGATTATCTGGACCTCATGAGGAGAACCCAAAGTGAGAAATCAGACTGACAAAATAAAAGTTATAAATGTATAAAAGTTCTCCTCATTTTTTTAAAACATAGATTTATTTAATGTAAAAATTACAACAATTGGTTGAGTTCAAAACATCTGTAGATGTAATGTGAAGACCTATATTACTACAAGAGAAGATAAAAGGAAATAAGAGTTATATAGGAGTAACATTTCTCTATCTCACTTGAATTAAGCCAATATAAATCAGAAGCTGTTTCTGAAGTAAGATATTTGCCAGAATAAATCTCTAAGCAGCAAAGTGTTCACAGTGCTGCTCGGTTTCTCTTAACTAGAGTAAAATGTGAGAAGAAACAATACAAAGATGGGATTTATAACATGGAAGCAAAACATAGAGATTTGAAAATTCTCAGCCTGAGCATGTAAATCAAAAGACATTTAGGAAAGTAAACCAAGGGTGTGACCAAGTGACTTTTTGGTAAGAGTGTGGCTAGAAAGAAGCCAGATGCTTTTCATCATGACAACAGGAGAATGAATCCAATGGCACTTCAGAGAGCTTCAAGGCTGCTCCTCCCATCACAGGCCCAGCGTGCGAGGTCCTTGAAGGCAGGATGGTTTCAAGGGAAGGGTCTAGAGCACTCATGGGGCTTGCTGCCCGGGGCTGCCTCAAGTCTCTGCCCCTCCCATCCCAGCACAGTGCTCCTTGGCTGCTCTAGTTGTGGCTCCAGTGCGCCCAGGTGCAGTTTAGTCCCGGTCTGGAGGGCAAAGTGGTGAACCTCAGCATCTACATGCTGCTGATTTTGCAAGTGCGCAGAGTGCACAAGATGTAGAAGCACGGCATCCTTCAGAGAGATTTTTCTTTTTTGAGACAGAGTCTCACTCTGTCGCCCAAGCTGGAGTGCAGTGGTGCGATCTAGGCTCACTGCAACCTCCGCCTCCTGGGCTCAAGCAATTCTCTTGCCTCAGCCTCCTGAATAGCTGGGATTACAGATGTGCCATGCCTTGGAGAGCCCCAGGGCCTAGACAGAGACCCACTACAGACGCAGAGCCACTGCAGACAGTCCCCCCTACGGCAATGTCCAGTGGAGTCATAGAGGCTGTGCCACTCCCCAAACCCTAGACCTGTAGAGCCAGCAGAATGCAACATGGGCCTGGGAGAGCCAGTGGCACCTGACTCCAACCCAAGAGAGCTGCAGTATGAAC